CCCGCTGTGCAGGCCCAGGCGCTGTCCCCCACTACAGAGCAGGCGCACCTGCTGCAGGCGCAGCTGGCTCAGGCGCAGCAGATCAAGGCCCACCAAGCGCAGGCGCAGCAAGCAATGCAGGCTCAGGCGCATGCGCACCGCGCACAGAACGACCGCCTGCAGGCCCTTGCGATGCTGACAGGCCAGCCACAGCCCGCACAGTCGCAGACCGCCGCGGCCCTCGCGCTGCTGGCAGCCCAGCAGCAGCAGCAGCAGCAGCAGCAGCAGCAGCAGGCCGCGCCGGCCGTTTCCTTGGCGCCGGCTGTGGCCGCGGCGCCGGTCGCGTCACAGGCGCTTCCCGCGCCGCTGCAGGCTCTGGCCCTTGCTGCGAGCCAGGCGCCTGGGGCCCCACAGGCACCTACACGCCACCTCCAGCCTGTGCCGCCCGTGGCGCAGCCGCAGCTGCTGACGCCCCAGGCTCCGGTGGTCGTGGCTGCGGCGTCGCCGGCACAGCCGTCCAAGGAGGCTGGCGTGTCTGGGGGGCCATCGTCGGGCGCGCCAGCACAGCAGCTGCAGGCCCTGGCGCTGCAGGCCCTGGCGCTGCTGGCCAACCAGGAGGGCGAGCAAGGGACAGCCGCTGCTCCCGCCGCTCCCGCGCCGGAGGGACCAGCGCAGCCGCCGCCACCTCGGGAGCACGCCGCCGCGACACCGCCCGCACCGCCTGCTACCGCCCCTGCCGCCATCGCGGCCCCGCCCGCCGCGGCCGCCTCTCCCTCCGCGCTGGGCGCCCCGGCCGCGGTGTCCTCCGCGGTACGCGCCCCGGCCGGGTTGGATGACACGGTTCTGCTGGAGGCCGTGGTGAGCCTGCTGGGGCCTGTGCTGGAGGCCCTCATGCCCGGCCACGCACTGGCCAGCACAGCCGCCGCGCCCGCCGCGCAGTGAGCCGCTCCCCGTCTGTCGGGCCGGCACGCGCTGGTGCTCCTGCGGAGGCCGCCGTTGCGCCTCGCGGGGGCATGGTGGCGCGAATCGATCTCTCGTTTCACCTTGCATTGAAGCACTGGCGGCCGCGCCTTTCCGCGCCCGGCATGTGTGCTTGAGTGAGTTTTTGGCTGACAAAACTAGCACATGACCCCGGCCCCAGCGGGGTCGCAACCTGCACCATGCGCACGTACCAGGGCACTCCCTGTGTGCACCCAAACGATGCATCCGTTTGTCAATCACGGCGGGGTGACAAGGGCCGAAGGTGGGGGCTCAGCCCCTGAGCACACCGACCAGTGACCGACCCCAGGACGCATGACGCGCGTACGCATGCACCCTCATGCACACGCCACACATGTGCACACCCACACACTCACACACACTCGAACCGCGGCCGCGCCGCCTCCTCCCAAGCGTGGGCCTTTCATGGCATCGGCCCGGCCGAGGCGGCGCCTGAACCTGCAGGGTTACGAGCTGCATGCGTTCATTTTCTTGTATTGTTGCCTACCGGCAACGCTTCAACATTAAATGTTGCACGCCTTCGCTTATTTCAGAGCTCGCCGTGCCGGGTTGGACGCATTCGCCCCCGTTCACAGGGCTCAAGTGCCCGGCACGCAGCGAGCGCAAATTTCTTGTTGTCGCCGGCTTGGGTTCTGTATCCTTGTCCCGGCAGCGCACGTGTTGCGCCTGTGAGCGGAGCCCGAGCGGCGCCTCCTCACCTCACTGGACCCAGGCTGGCTGCGGCGCTTGCTTCGACCTTTTGCGGTGCGCAGCGCCTTCGACCTCTGTCCTGCTGGCCCAGGCAGCCCCCGCCCATTGTTATGTGCCAGAGGTGGCCCGGTGTGCTCCCTTTTCCGTTGACCAGACGAGCGCGCTTTTCGCTTACCGGCCCACAGGCGGCGCTGGCACGCCACCGTCTCCGCCCTTTGAGGCGCCCGACATCTCTCGTACGCGACGCAAAATAACTTATCCACAATGATGCTGTATAACACGCATATGGCATGGTCATCAACTTCTGCGAACGATTGACACACATTTCATGCGGTTTCCTGCGTTCAGCGCCGCCACCAGTTGCATGCTTCGGCCCATCCCAGTGCTCCGTTGAGCAGGAGCGTGGCTATGCACCTGCATGCAACCGCACCCGTGCATGCACGCTTCTTTTGTTACCCTTTCGGCAACCCGGCACTGCCTTGTTCGCGGCCGCCCCCTGCATGTGCGACCACACAATGTGGCACCATCAAGCATTTCATTGTAATACTGCCCCCGTCAGGACCCCGTGCGTGATATTGGGTGCACATGCCAATCACAAGCGGCTGTCAGCTTGCAGCGAATGCCCTGCCAAATCCTGCCCGCAGGATGGTGTTGCAGGGGAAGGGGGGGGGGTGGAAGGCGTTGCAGGGTGTCTGCCAGGCCCGTCATGTTTGACTGGCCGGCGTTCAGCACAAGCACGCCACGCGGATGTTGTTGACACAACATACAGGCACCTGTACTCATGGCGTGCGTCAACGATACACCGCGCTCTCATGCACACAAGCTTTACCGCAAGATCACTGTATTAGTTCAAGCCGTCGTGCCGGGTCAGCGTTAAAACCGATTGGTAAAATGCCAGAAACATGACCACCCCAAACCGGCTACACAACCACCCTTTGATGATGGCTCCTGCCGCATCCGCTGAGCCGCCCGCGTCTGCTGCGCAAAGACCTTGACCCATGCAGCGGCCAAGGGCATGGCCACTCACCTGATTGGAGGCGCGTCCCCGGCCCATTTCCACCATATGCGCTGGGTGGACATGCAGTCAGCTGGCAGACTGGCAGACATGGCCATGGACACGGCTCGTTTGCCGCACAGTGAGGCGTCCTGGTCGTTGCACAACAACGCGCTGCAGACCACTGCATACTCCCTTCGACGGCGCCCGGCAGAAGGAATGTTGGTGCCTGCTCATGGTGGTTCAAAAAATCACACCCACTTGCCCCAAAACAAAGCGGACGCCCACCAGCGGCAGCAGCAACGGCAGCAGCAGCAGCAGCAGCAGCAGCAGGAGCACCAGCAGCAGCAGGAGCAGCAGCTGGAGCTGGAGCAGCAGCAAGGAAGGACCTTCACTCCCGGCAGCGATTGCAGCGTTGCAGGACCAAACAGCTCAAGCAAGCTCACCCAGCTGCGAGCTCTCAAAACCCACAACCAGCGTGCCTGGCGGGAGTGCAGGGGCAGTTGGGTGCATGGTGCAGCTAAATCAGGAACGCAGGAATCACACCCTCAGCTATCGCACGAGTCTGGTGCTGCAATGGCGCGCAGCGTGCAGCACAGCGCGCCTGCTGCAGCCGTGTGCTCGGGGCAGCCCACAATGATGACGTGTTCGCAACACGTGAACGACGTGCGGCGACGTGTTTGTCGCGGCCATGGCCAGCTGCGCATCGCCTGCGGGTCTTGTCGTGTACACTACACAGGAAACGACAGACGCGGCAGCGGCAGCGGCGGGTGCAGCAGCAGCGGCGGCAGCAGCAGCAACAGCAGCAGCGGCAGCAGCAGCAGCAACAGCAGTACCAGCAAGGCGATAGGTGCCGGTCAGAAAGCCAGCGTGGTGGCGGCAGGAACTTTGTGCTCAGACGCTGGTGACTTGACGGGCTCGCAAAGCCGCCCTTGCAACAACAGCCACGAGCCGCCGTCAAGAAGTTTGGCACCATGTGCAATCCCTGAGCTGGCAGACCGTGCTTTGCTGTTTTTGGCAACCCGACGACTGCAGCCGTTGCGTCTGTGTAGCCCCAGCTGTGTTCCCCTTGTTGAGGATGCCCGCGACAGCGGTAGTGCCAGAACCCAGCACTTTTCTCCAGAGTTCAGCACCAGCTGTTGCCGTAGTGTACCGCGGCGCGCGCTGTTTTCTGGGAGCGGCGGCAAAGCTGGAAAGTGGGGATGCCAGGGTGCTGAGCAGCAGCAGCAGCAGGAGCAGCAGCAGCAGCAGGAGCAGCAGCAGGAGCAGGAGCAGGAGCAGGAGCAGGAGCGGGAGCAGGACAAACGAGGATCCAGTGTACTTCTGTCGCGGGCAGCCAGCTCACCATTTTTTGATGGTGCGAATGAGTTTGAGCAGCTGCAGTTTGAGAGGCTCGTGACACCCTGTGCCAGGGACGAGAACCACACACGGCAACCAGCAGTCCAGGCGGCTAGAGCAGCTGCTCAAGCAATGGATCCAGCTCTATCACCGCAACAGGGGGGCAGCGGGGCCGACAGGCGCGCGACTCTGGGGCTCAGTGACGAGGAGCTGGCTTTCCTTCAGCTGCTGGAGGACGGCACGCGCCACTCACAGGGGACACCAGCTGCGTCAGTGATGGAGGCGGCTCACAGCGCCACAGACCTCCACGCGGCACCTGGTGGTGGCACCGCTACAAGCAGCTGTGCAGAGTCTGACGTGCTGGTGCCAGCGCAGCGGGGTCGCAGCGGCTGGGGCAGCTGGGCCTCGCCTCACACCCTGCCTGACCGGGAGGCAGCGCCAGGTGGGCAAGTGCCAACCGCAGCGTCCGCAAACACAAGGGTCGCGCGGAGTTCAGCGGCTCAGCCCTACCCAAAGTGGCCTGCTGAACAGCGGCCGTTTCAGGGACGGCCGTGCCGGAATCGGGGCCAGCAATCAAATCAGCAACAAGCCAGGTGTTTTGGGCTGGCCGGAACTCGGCCCGAGCAAAACGCCACCCGCAGCACGATGCGGCCGCCGGCTGTCGCGCAGCAGCCCTCCAGAAATGGTATCAGCAGCAGCGGGTCGCGGGCGTCAGCGCTGCCAGTGCTGACAGCAGTCATCCTGGCGCCAGCACCGGCGGCGCGAGCAGCGATGTTCTGTGCGAGCTGGCAAGACGAGGGCGAGGCGGACGCGGACATGACATTCATCGGCGACCTGATGCACCGCCTTGCAGCCATGGAGGAGCTGCACGCCGCATTCCGGCGCTGGCGCAGCGTCGCATTGCGCAGTCGCAGCTGCCGGCTGCTACTGGAATCGCTCGTGCGGCGACGCAGCTGCCGCATGTGCGCTTCTGCGTTGTCGGCGTGGCGGGTGATGACGGCGATCGGAGCTTGCCGTGCGCGAGCACTGGAATGCAGTGCGAGGGAGCTTGCAACCAGGCGGCTTGTGGCGTGCGGCTTCCGGGTGGGGTGGTGGCGGGGGTTTGATGCGAATCCCGGGTCGAAGAGCCTGTTAGTTTGGGGTGGCAAGGCATTGTATTGCAACAAAAGCGCCACTCCATCCCTCTTGCAAACAATTGTCTGGGTCTGAAGATCACGCTGCCGCATATCCCTTCCCGCAGGATTGGAGGTCTGCTGCCAAAATTCAGCGCCGCGCGCGTCTGTTTGCGGCGCAGCATGCCGCTGGCGTCGTCGCGGCCTGCCTGCGTGCCTGGCGGGCAGCAGCCGAGGAGCGGCAGGCGGCGGTGTTTCTGGCACAGTGGGGGGCCTCAGCGTGCGGACACCGCCGCCTCACAGACGCGCTTCGCGCATGGCGGCGGGCGGTGGGCTCCGTCATGTAGGGGTGTAGGGGTGGACGGGCATATGTGCATGCGTGGGCCCTCTAGGGGCGTGGGTGCAAAGCCGGTCATGAGGAGCGCCGAGGGCGCCACCGCCCGGCGGTGTTGGTGGGTGTGCTGTCCGCGATCGTACGGCCCAGCCAGCAGTGCGCCTCATGCCACCCTGTCCCACGCGCTCTGTTGCAGGCGTGCGAGGCGGCGGCACAGCAGTGGTGGGCGGCGGAGTTCCGGCAGTCCCGTCTGCTGGCGCGCGCCTTTGCAGCCTGGTTGCGCGGCTTCCTGCCGGCCGCACGTGCTAAGCGGGTGGAGCGCTTGCAGCAGGCGGTCGCTGCCGAGCTGCTGCGAGCCGGGGAGCGGGCGCGCCTAACGCATGCAGCCTGCGCCGCGTGGCGCCTGCTCGCGGCAGAGGGTGCGGAGCGGCGGCGAGGAGCAGAGCAACTGCTGCGGCATGCCGCGCTCAGGTGGCTGCTGGCGGCCTGGCAGAGTAAGGCGCAGGCGTCGAGCGGGCTGAAGCGCGTGGCGGTCTGCGCCTGGCGCGAGGGGGTGTGGCTGCGGCAGGTGCGGCGCGTGCGCGAGGAGGCCGCCACCCTGCTAGCGGGGCACACGCTGCTCCGGCGCGCCTGGCAGGCTTGGGCGATGGCCACGCGCTGCGGCGCCGCCTGCCGAGCAGCGGTGCAGCTACGGCAGCGCCGGCTGCTGTCGGCCTGCTGTCATGTGTGGATGGCGTGGTCTGCGCGGTCGGCCCGCATTAGGCATTGCGGGCTGGTGCTGGCGGCGGCGGTGAGGGGGAGGAAGCTGGCAGCGTCCCTGGCTGCCTGGCGTGCACGCGCGCGCCAGTGGCGCACGTCCAGACTGCGGCGAGAGGCTGCGCAAGCTGTCCGCGTGCAGAGGTAGGGGGGGGGGAATGCATCAGACGCGTCAACCTGTCAGGTTTGCACGGCTGCCGATTGTATTGTCGGTGAAAACGTGTACGGGAAGCGGCGTACTGCTGCACATGGTGCAGAGGCCTGAAGCGTGAGGGTTTATGGCAGTTGATCTTCAGTCCCGCCGTCCTCATCCCCGTGCAGGCTCCTGGCACAGGCCTTTTGCGGCATGCGCTCCCATGCAGCTCGCCTTGCCAGCTCCCGGCGCACAGCAGCGGCGGCAGCAGCGCAGCACAGCCAACGCCGGGTGCTTGCAGCAGCGCTATGTGCATGGCGGCATGAGGCTGCAGTGCACTGTGCAGCACGCGAGGTTGCAGCGCAAACGCACCAGCGACTCGGGCGCCACTGCCTCCACGCCTGGTGGGAGGGCACATATGCGCAGCCGCGCCTGTTTGACATGCAGGTGCGGTGCCTGGTGCGGCTGGTGGCAGGGGCCTTTGGCGCGTGGCGCGCCCTGGCTGCCGCCGCCGCAACTGCACAGCAGCCCCCGCTTACAGCGGCGGTCCCCACAACGCCGCGGGACCGAGTGGACACGCAGCGCCGCCTGGCCCTGGGTGATTGCGCTGGTGTCCTACAGCGCGTTGTGTTGGTAGGATGGTGGCAGGAGGCGGCACGCAGGCAGCGGTTGCAGCAGGAAGGTCCCATTATGGCAGCTGCGTTTGCTGAGCGGCGGCTCTTGCAGCGTGCATGGGCCTGCTGGCTGCTAGCATCTGCCGCAATAGCTCGTCGCAGGCAGACACCGGGGACAGTGAGGGCAACCAAGTCGCAGCCGAGGGTGCAAAGCCCTCAGCAAGGTCCATTGCAGCAGCAGCAGCAGCAGCAGCAGCAGCAGCAGCAGCAGCAGCAGCAGCAGCAGCAGCAGCAGCAGCAGCAGCAGCAGCAGGCACAGTCACTACTTGACCAGCAGCAGGAGCGCGACCAAGTGCTTGGCGCTTTTGGGGGCACGACCACGGCCAACCCTCCGCAAGCTGCTGGCGCTCCAGCTTCCTGCAGCGGGCCTGGCTTCGCAGGTATTCAATTACGGCCGCAACTCGCAGCAAGCAAGGCGGCAGTCACCACAACCACCACAGTTGCGTGCACCTGATCTTTCCCTGCTGAGACTGCTGTGGTGCCTTTCCGGGCAGCCGGCCAGGTGGGTGCCAAGACCCTACAGAGCTGGCGAGCTGGCCGCAATCATGTGCATCCGGTGCAGTATTTTCCGTCCAGTGATTTTGACTGTCCGCGCGCCCGTCCTGACGCTGCTCACTCCCCCGACGGCCCCTGTCGCCGGCCGGATGGATTCAAGGCGATTGAAAGCATGTATGCTTTCAAAGCTGCCCTGATACTCCGCCACTGTCTTTGATGCTTGTGAGTTACAGTTGGCGTCGCTGTCAAGGGCAACGTTACCAGCCCAACACAAACGCATGCAATGCGGCGTGATCAACATCCACAAAGACATGATCGAATCACTGCTGAGTGCACGGCCTGCAATGGTGACGCAGCAGCAGCCAACGTTCACAGCAGGGCAGAGTTTGCGACAAGCAGAGGGCACAAAGCCCAGCTTGTCGACGGCAGCTTCACTAGCGCGACCCAGGCCTGCGTACACTGCAGGCGGCTGCGTCGCACAGTTTCTCAAGTGTTGAACAACGCGCACAAGCACGGGTGCAGAATGAATAAAATAGATATGTGGGGTGCCCGGTGCTTCCTGCCGCAGGGTCACGCCTGGTGAGGAGCATGCCGGGGGCCAGTGCTGGGGACTGCAGCAGGCACACGCTGTTCAAGAAAAGCAGCGGATGTGCACGAAAAGTCGCAGCAGTGCTGAGTGCCATTGCACCCCTTGCCTCGCCGCGCAGTGGGGTCCCACAGGGTTACCCCTACAGCAGTTCTTGTGGGTGTGCGCGCATACAAAACGCTCACACATCTAAGTAGCATCCAGAAGCTGAGATCATGCGTGTCTCCAATGTGATAGTGTACAGTTGGCAGCTATTCCGAAAGAGGGGCGTGCAATTGCGCACACGCTTTGTCCACAAAGCAGCGGGTCTGTCACCCAGGGGCCCTGGGGCGTTGCCATGAGGGCGGGGTGTCTGCCTGTCAGGGGCCAGGCTGCGACAGGGGGGGAGAGGGTCATCTTGGCGGTGCAGTTCGCGCGCGGTTCAGCCCTCAGGGGTCGGGCCGCGCCATGTGGTGTGTCGCGATGGTCCCCACCGTCATGTGCTTGGAGCCGTCCCCCAGCTCCTTGAAGAGCCGCTGCTGCATCCACTCGGTTATGATGGTGCGGCTGCCAAAGCCGGCCCCGACCCTCAGGTCCGAGCTGATGGTGACGTCATACGAGTGCATCCTGCGGTCAAAGTCTGGGCCCAGGACGAAGAGCGTGTGGAAGGCGACGCGGCTGTACAGCGAGACGTCCGGCGGGGGGCACAGGAAGAGGCCCCACTCTGCAGGGAAGTGGAGATTGGGGGAAGCGGAGGCAGGCCTGGGCGCTGTTGTGGCGGTGGGATGCTGTCTGGCAAGTCGGTGGCGCAGCTGATCAAGCATTTGCCGCCCTGACTGCATGCTGGCAGTTGCGCGTTTCTGCCGCAGCAGTAAGCAATGCTCGAGTCTCTTGGACCACAAGGAGACGAATTGCTGCAATTGGCGCCCACCTGCAGCGCCTGCGCGCTCCATACACAGGTAGAGGCGGCGCGTGGCGATGGTGAGGGCCCCGCTGCTCATCAGCCTCTGGCCCGCGCCGGGCAGCCGACCGACGTCGGCGCGCCATATCAGGTAGCGTCTATTTGGGAAGGTGCATGGAGGCCGAACGAGAAGCGAAAATGAGCAGTGACGCTGATGGCCGTCACGTGTCAAGCCGGCAGTGGCATCGAGGGCTGGTGTGGTCATCAGGCGGCCACTGCTGCGCCTGCACCACGCCCTTGCAAGCCGCATGTGGACACCTCGGCTGTGGGTCGCAAAGGGACGCCAACTCTCAGCATCCAGAGGCCTGGGCCTTTACGGCTGCGGCACCAGGCAGCTGCAGAGAGCCTCACCTCTGGTGGTGGCCGCTGATCTGAGCGGCGACAGCCTGCAGCGCTCTGTCCTTGAGCAGCGGCGTCAACGCCCAGTGCCGCGGCATCTGCAGGCACCAGTCCACCAGGGCAGACACCTCCTCCTGCTGCAGGGTGCCCCACTCCACCTGAAAGGGTGTTTGTTGGGGGGTGGGAGCATGTCGTGGAGGACGGCGACTGGAACGTGCATTGCAACATGTCCGGGGTCACCACAGGCGGCTGTGCAGCCAGGCGCGCTCTGCCCTTCACAGAGCGCGTCTTTTAGGTATCATTTCACATTGTCAGATACAGAGTGGTGCAGCCCAACTCCCTTGCAACCCCCGCCCTTCCGGTCGCTCTATCAATTCCAGGCTCGACAAACGGCTACCTGCCAGCCCCCTCCATCCCTGCCCCCAGCCCCCACCCACCATCCCCAGCATCTGCTCCACGTGCTCTGCGCACAGCGCCTCAGCCACCTCCAGCATCACATGGATCAGCAGCACCTCGGGACCCTGCCCGTTCCAGGCGGCATCGTGGCCCTGCGTACATTTGTGTGAACGTGCATGTGCGTGTATGTTTGTTCGTGTGGGTTTGTGTGTGTGCGTTTTGTGTGTGCATGTGCGTGCGTCTTGGTTCGTGTGTTTGTGTGTGTGTTTCTGTGTGTGCGTTTTGTGTGTGAGTGTGTGTGTGTGTGTGTGTGTGTGTGTGTGCAAGTGTGTGTGTATATGTAAGCAAGTGCAGAGGCAAAAGCACACATGCCTGTCAATGTGACGGATGCGTGCATCCAGCCGGTGCAAATACACATCATCTCCCGTGCGTGCACCACCTGCTAATTCAAGTTGCTCCACTCACTGATCAGCCATGCAGGTCCAAACCCAGGGATGGGGCCAAGCGCCAGCGCTGTCCCCCCCCCCCCCCGTCTCACCTGCCGCAGCAGCGTCATTTGTGCCACGCCGTCGCCAGCGTAGGGCGGGCTGCACAGGATGTGGGACAGCACCGCGCGACGGCCCGCGGCGTCCCGCTGGGCACAGCAGGAGAAGTGGCGCGCCAGTGATGACGCAAAATCTACCCTGCAGCGTTGATGGTTACGGCAGGGTGGGCGTGGCGCTGTCGAGAGCGTTGCGACCCTTTGGGAGGGAGGCGGCAGACGACCAGGCCCTCCCCTGGTGAGTAGGTGCTCATGCAGGCCCTGCGCCCCCCACCCAGCGCTCGGCTGGGCTTCCTTGCGCAGGTGTGCAGGAAGGGGAGGAAGTGTGCCGCCGTTGTCGCTGCCAATCGCCGACGAGGCATAACACGCCCGCCGACCCCAGGCGACCTGCTGAGGTCGCAGGCCAGGTCATAGACGGCAGTGATCCAGGCAGGGTCGGCCTCTGGGTCCTCAAAGGCGGTGTAGGCCAGGTAGGACTCACACGCCGCCATCAGGGCCGGCATCTGAGTGAGGAGGCGCGATGCCAGGGAGAAGTATGCGAGGGTGTCGCTCAAACGGCCTTTGCTGTCGTCTCGGCCGCGGCCTTGGCGCCGGCGGCGTCAAGCAGGCGCCTCAGTGCCATGACTGCAATGCACCATGAGCGCTCAGTTGCGCAGGGAGAAGTCGAGGGTCCAGCCCCACCTGCATGGCGTCTGCCGCCCTGTACACGGGCTCCACATTGTCTGGCCCCAGGTCAATGCTGCTGGCATACAGCGCCCCCACCATGAGCTCAAGCAGTTCCTGGGCGGGTGGGTGGGATTGAGCGTGTGCAGGAGCACATGGGCACATGTGAGCTTGTGTGCGTGCATGTAAGCAACCATACACCCACCCACGCCTGCGCACATCTGCATTTCGGGTGCAACATCAGAATGCGTGTGACGTGCGGCTGTTGGGGCACCCATGAGGCGGTGTTGACAGAGGGATGGATGGAGTGGGTGTGAAATAGAGAATCAGGGGAACGGGCTAGTGCGGCGCTGAAAGGCAAGGCTGGCGGAGGGCCTGTGGCCCTTGCCGTCGCCCCTTGCTGGCAACCGAGTGCGGGACCACACGTTGGGGGCGCGACTCAGGTAGCCTGTGCTACCACCTGAGCGCGCTCCCTTGCAACTTGGCGTTCTGTCGGTCACCAAGCCCCACCTGAGGCATGCAGCACGGGATGACGACGGAGCCGACCTCGGTGCCAGACAGCTCGTGGCGGTTTGACATGAGCAGCTGTGCCCCGCAGGTGGTGGGGGGCACAGGCGCACGGGTAGGTGAGGAGCGCCGGCGGAATGGGAGATCTACTCACATATCCTAAGAGCAACGCAGCTGTGCGGACGCGCCAGGAGCCTGCTATACCCAACCGACACCTTCTTCATCCACATTCCCGCCCCATCACACTCTCAGCTGGCCCGCACAATGCACAAAGCATGCGCACCCTCATTTGGCCCCCTGCTCATAAACAACTGTGCAAGCACATACCCACCCTTAATCCCCCCCACACCCACAAACACACGCTCCCTAACAGAACCCTGCCCCACCCCCCACCCCCACCTGGAACCAGTGGCTGTTGCGCGCCAGGTCCACCGCCGCCATCTTCACTGGCCGCGGGTGGCTGGCGTCCGCCACCAGGCCCACGTTGAAGAGCATCGAGTCGTGGCGGTGCTCATCCCAAAACGACCGGTCGCTGCTCGTGGGCGTCAGCAGCGGCACGGTGGACGCGCCCGGCCTGCGACACTCAGCGCGCGCCAGCCGCGGCGCCCAAGCGACCTGCCCCGAGGCGCCCGGCGGCAGCTCGTCCCCGGCTGCCGACACAGCGCGCTCGAGCAGGGAGGCTGAGGCGGCCGACGCGGCTCGGTCCAGCAGCGACGCCGACGCAGCCGACGCAGCGCGGTCCAGGAGCGCCGCAGAGGCGGCCGACACGGCGCGGTCGAACAGCGACGCGGACGCCGCAGAGACGGCGCGGTCCAGCAGCGCGCCGGACGCCGTCGACGGCGCGCGCTCCAGCGCCAATGCAGGGGGCAGCGGCGGCAGGCCCGCCGAGGAGGCCGGCTGCAGCATGGGCAGCGAAAGGCTGCGGCTCATTGAGCGCGCTAGGTTGAGCAGGGTGGGGGGCTCCTCCTCCTGGGACAGCAGCACCTGTCCCTGCAGCTGCTGGTGGTCGCGCCGCTGCTCTGCGCACGGATCACGGCCAGCCCCGAGGGGCCCGCCACCGGCGCGGGCTGAGGCCACAACCTGCTGCTCTGTCGGAGGGGGGAGTGGCACGAGGTCGGGATGCAGCTGCTGCTGCTGCAGCTGCTGAATTGGGTGGTGGTGGTGGTGGCCTTCGTCGTGGGGTCCGCTGTAGCTCGGCGGCGGCTGCAGCGCCAGGGCCGCGAATGCCGAGGGCCAAGGGCCGCTGCCAGAGCGCTGGCCAGCAAGTGGCAGAGACCCCTGCGGAGGGCGCTGCAGCTGCGGCGGCGAGTGCGGAGGCAGCTGCGAGTTCGCGACAGGCAGGAGCGGTGCGGCGGGCTGGTGAGGCTGGTGCTTATGAGGCGGTGACATGTGCTGCTGCTGCTGTTGCTGATGCTGCTGCTGTGCGCGTGAGGGCCAAGGGCTTGCCGAGCCCAGGGGTGCCTGCTGCTGCGCTGCCTGGTTGGTGGGCGCCTGTGCCCGGGGCGACGGCGGCGATGAGGGGGCTGCCGAGCCCGAGGCTGCTGCAGACACCGGCTTAGGCAGTGGCTGGGGTGGGAGCCCAAGAGGTAGAAGCACTGTGTTCTGCTGAGGTGTTGGGGGTGCGATCGACGGCGAGGCGGGCCTGGCACATGGCAGTGGCGGTGCACCGCTGAGCTTGGCCCTCGCAAGCGGCTGCGCCTGAGGCGCGAGTGCGGCCACGCCGCTGCCGCCGGGACGCGCCTGCTGCCACTGCTGCCCCGACGTCGCGCTGTCAAGTGGCTGCGTCACCTGACCCTGCTGTGCATGCTGCTGCTGCATCGCCGGCTGCTGCTGCTGGCACAGCGAATGCTGTTGCATTTCGCTCTGCTGAGGCGTGGCGGGCAGGGTGCCACAGGCACTGGGGCTGGCTTCGGCCGGCTCCTCGGCAGGTGCGGCGGTCACAACCGCAGCAGGGGCGGGCCCGGGCGTGCTGCGCTGTGGGTACGTGATCCAGGGCATGTCGCTTCGCGCCGCACTGGGCGACTCCGCCAGCCAACGAGCGTGTGGCGGAGCGCGCCGCGCCCAGGCGGCGCACGACTGCGCAAGTGTGCTGTTCAGATGCGTGGAACTGGCCACCACCAGAGGCACTCTGCTGCGCGGTCACCCCAGGCTACGCCAGGACAAAGTCTCGTTCAGGCCGTGGCTCAACCCTTGTGGGCCCTATTATCTGACGAAAATTCTACCTGCAAGGCACGATTGACCTTCCGCCTGATCCCACCCCCGTCGCGACAGTTTGGCTGAAGGCAGTGCGGGGCCAGACGCGTGGGCGACTGCACACGGGTGACTGCCGGTGCAAACCTTTCATAAGACGGTTGCCTCGTCGCTTGGCAGCCTCTCAACCAACGCGCTGTGGGATGCGCTGAGGTCACCCGTGAGAATGACCCAGTGACACTCACTCACATGCGATACGACCTTCGGTAACAGATTTTCCAGGTGTTTGACTGTATGTTAGGGCACGCAGACGTTTTGCTAGCACCGCGGATCCCACTAGTGAGGCCCACCGTGGCAGGCAGCCAGCGTGCTGCCCCCCAGCGAAACCGTGAGCGCTAACTACGATAAAACGGTGGTCTACAGCCTATTTCAGCGACATCACACCACCAGCCACCCTTTGCCGGTGCTGTTTGCTGAGCGCAGCACACAAGCACCAGGGCTCGGCTGCGCGCCGCACCGACGTTGCACTCACGCAACATCTGCGCATATGCCCTCAGGATCGGCGTGCATGTCAGGTGTGA